CACGGTCTCCATTTTGTCACCACAAACGGCTTCTCCTCCAACCCCCACACAGTCTCGTGCAGCGCTCCTCAGGGCTGTGTCCTTGGTCCTCTCCTCTTCAAAGTACATGCTCCTTCTTGGTGGTATCATCTGCAGATATGGGGTCAACTTCCACATGTGTGCGGATGACAGCAATCTATCTCTCTGCCTCCAACTCCAGGACTACTGCTGTCCTGACAGAATGTCAGACATCAAGGCCTGGATGAGAGCCAACTTTCTACAGTTGAGCGCTATCAAGACCGAGCCCTTTCTGATTGGCTCATCACCATCCATGGATGCACTCCACCAGTCCGGAACCTTGGCGTCCTGTTTGACCCTCAACTGTCCTTTCTAAATTGGTCATTTTCAATCTCCGACTGTTTGTGGGACATTGCTGTGCGCAATTGGCTGCCGCCTTCGCCCACAAATATACAGTCAATTCACTTTACAGTGTGTTCTGTGAAGCTTTGGGACGTCCTCCCGACGTGAAAAGCGCTATATCGAATGCAAGGATTATTATTATTATTATTCTACCCCCACATCAGTGCCATGACCCGCTCTGCCTTCCCCCACCTCCGCAAAATCACCCGGCTCTGCCACTGCTTTACCCGTTGGGCCACCAAAACCCTCATTCATCACATCTAGGCTCGACTACAACAACTCCCTGCTCGTCGGCCCCTCCAACTTTTCTCTCCACAAGCTGCAGATAATCCAAAACTCTGCAGCTCATGTCTTCTCCCGCACCAGACTCCATGACCCCATCACCCCACCCCCAGCTTCACTGACTCCCCGTTCCCCAGAGGATAAAGTTAAAAATCCTCGTCCTCGCTCCTCTATCGTTTTGCTGCTTTCAACCTCTACAATGTGCTAACTCCAAAAACCTGTCCGTTTCCTCCACTGAGCAGGCTCCTGCCTGCTCCACATCCCCTGACCGGCCCCACCATTGGCAGTCAGGCCTTCAGCCTCTCTGCCCTCATCCTTTGGAACTCTATCCCACATTCCCTTTACCTCCCTGGCCTCCTTCAAAGCACGTCTCAAGACCCTCCTCTTCCTGACTGTCCGGCGCTTTGGGATGTCCTCCCAACTTGAAAGGCGCTATAACAATGTAATACTGTATTGTATCATCAATTTGCAGATTGTCCTGACCGGGGTGGGGGTGGGGGCTCCCTGATGCAGACAAAGTAATAATAATAATAAGGTAATGTATTATCTGCAGATTTGGTAAGAGAAAAAAATGGTCATGGGTAAACTTCCATACCATAATTTTTTAGACAAATTAAGCTATCCTAGCCAAAGTAATTAAAGAGAATCGATCAGTTAAACAAAGTTTAGAGCAATAACTTGTGAAGTAAGCACCTTCATGTAAATAATAATAATAATCTTTGCATTTAATATAGCGCCTTATCGTGTATTTGAGACGTCTCAAAGCGCTTCACAGAATATACTCTAAAGTGAATTGACTGTATATTTTGTGGGCGAAATGCGGCAGCCAATTGTTCACAAACAATCGCGAATTGAAGTGGCAAATTTATTATTATTATTTTTTTGAAGGAATTATTCCCTGGAAAAGTGATCTGCCAATCGACTAACAACCGGGCTCTTACTTACTGCTAGATAAACAGAGGTGTATGGAGTAAGGAGACTTGCCCAACATTCTGACCTGCTAGGAATTGAACCTAGGTCTCTCAGTTGCAAGGCGAACAATCTAACTACTGAGCTACAGGACTCCTGTAAACAGCACTGGGATCCCAAAAAAGCAAATCAAAGGCTTAAATGCTCCTAGGACCTCATAAAGATAGATGCTAGAGATTTCCTCCAAGGGACGAAGGCAAGTACCAAAGGTTGCTAATGACACCAAAATCCTTATTGAATTGATAAAGTTCCAAATAGCCAAGTTGCCAAACAATAGACGAGTGGAACATCAATCAAAACAAGAGAAAATTGGCAAACTACTTGAGCATGTGAAAGAGATGTGTAAAAACAATCAAGCTACTAAACTGACATGGATTACGGGCAGTTAAGTGAATGCGTTTGTCTTACATTAAGCATTAGAGGATTTACAGACATAATCAAACCCACAATAAAGCAGCCACTTTGTTCAATCACTTTATTAAATCACAAGACAGGCAAAGAGACAAAGCCTTTTTTGAGGTTGCAGCTAGGTGTATGACACATGCGGAAAGCCATCACATGCTTAAGAATATCCAAGCTAAGGTGAGATAAATAATATAATAATAATCCTTGCATTTGATATAGCGCTTTTCACGTCTTCGAGACGTTTCAAAGCGCTTCACAGAATATACTGTAAACTGAACTGACTGTATATTTGTGGGCGAAACGCGGCAGACAATTGCGTGCACAGCAGCGTCCCATAAACAGTCGTGGATTGAGTGACCAAATCTTTTTTTAAAAAAAAGCATTATTATCCCCGGAAAAGCGATCCGCCAATCGACTAACAACCAGTTTCCTACTTACTGCTAGGTAAACAAAGGCATGTGGAGTGAGGAAACTTGGCCAACATTTCACCAGGTCGGGAATAGAACCCACTTGGAGGCGAGTGTCTTTAACCACTGAGCTACAGGACTAAATATCTGGAATGTTAACAGCATCAGGTCTTTCAGTTGGATAAGAGAGGTACGGAGATACTCACTTTTGATTTTAATGCTTTGTACCGTGACAAGTATTATGAAGGATAATTGGAAACACTGATATTAAATAATCTCTGAAAGTGTGCCACATCACTTTTGTTTTCAACCGACTGGCACCAAATCTCCATTCTGGCAAATCAGATTTCTGTGTGGTCTGCCTGGCGCACAGCGAGGATAAACAGTCAACCTTTAAATTCCCCTATTCAATTTCCTCCATGCTTTTCTGTGGTACTGTCCATATAAGCCATAATTTACAATTTAAAATACAATTTTTCCATAATGATCTATACATACACATAGTCACACACATACACACATGCAGACTTCATTTTGTGAACTTGGGAGCTTGTCTCTCCTAGTTTCTTCAGGGTATTTGATGCTTGTTCAAGTGTGCAGGTTGCTGGTTGTGGAGTTCAGGAGTCATGACTAACAGCTGGATTTGGAAAGTTCTTGTGCAAACTCAGAGTAAGGAGATTTCCAAGCATCCCATTTACACTTGGAAGCCCCAGAAATAGATTTTTGGAATGAAATGCGCACTCCTTCCCTGGAGGAACACATCCTGCTTATCTAATTCCGAAGAGTATTAGGAGTAAATTGGCAAGAGCCCTGGCTTGGGTACCCCAGAGTGTGCATTGGGTTAACTGCTGGAGTCTAACCAACTAAAACCACATAGTTTGCCATTGATATTGCTGTCTGGCAAACTTCCCCTGCTGCTTGTCCAGCTAGGATCACCCTACTCTTTAAGGCTTTGGTTTGCAGGGTTAACAGGAGCTGAGTTGGAGCCTCCCTGCCCCCAGTGACTGGTCTGCCCTTTCAGATCCTGCCGACGAGCCAGGCTGGGCTGTGCCATTGACCACTCTATTCTTCTCCACCGCCTCTCCTCTCACCTCCACGGTTCTGTCCTCGCCTGGATCCAATCCTACTTTCCCACCGTCTATGCTTCGTGACAACCAACAGTTTCTAGCCCCCGCGCTGTCACATGTGACCTCTCTCTGTCCTCGGTCTCCTCTGTCTTCGATCCCCTCCTCTTCAAACTATACATACTCCCGCACAGTAATGTCATCCGTGGGCATGGGGTCATTTTCCACATGTATGTGGATGACAACCACCTATCTCGTCACCTCCACCCTCGACTCCAGGACCGTTGATGTCCTGGCTAATTGTTTGTCTGACATCAAGTCCTGGACCAGAGCCAACTTCTTCCAACTCAACGTTGGTAAGATAGGTCCTCCTGCTTGGTGCTGGCAGTGCCTCCTTACCTCAGCCGCTGACATTATCGATTCCGACATTCCATTACCAAGCATGTCACCTTGGAGCCAGCTCAGTTCCAAGGAGGCCCTACTTACTCCTCCCTACCCCCACCCCTCCCTCCCCAAAAGGAAGATAGATGAGCCTCAAGGGACAGGAAGCACTGATTTTTGCAGTTTCCAATAGTTCTTTGGTGGTTGATTGAATGATGACAGACATGACAGAACACCATTATTTGGAATTCCTTTTTTTTAAAAAAAAGAGGGTTAGGAGCATTATAATTGGAAGGAGAAAGTAAGGAAGGTGGGCATTAATGTATCTCGTCTGACATATTTAGCATCCTCGGAAGAGATCTTGTTCACAACACCGGCCACACTGAGCTGCCCGATAACATTTGATGTGTGTGACACTTTCCATTTTGCTCTTGGTCATGTCATTTGCTCTTGACCATGTCATGGCCACAGGGGAACCCAACCAAAAATTACACATGTCTTATTTCACCACTTTTAAGTGCTAGAAAAAGCAGAAAATCACAAACCACCAAAAATACAAAACACCATCTTTAACAATTCCCTTTCAGAGTACAGCACAGCCTCCGGCACATAAAGTTACACAAATCTGCTTCCATGAACAGTGCCTTTGCTAAGAAACATTTGACAAACAAAACAATTCCTGCTAACATTTCCACATTCTATTTCTGTCAATCAATCAGAAACGGGAAGAATCTTATAAATTGCACGGAGCTTCAAGGAGTTAAACAACAAAGCAACGGAACACAATTCATAAATAGAGGATTGAAACTCAAAGCAGATATTTACAACAGTGAGTCTGAATTACAGTCCTGGAAATCCTGACCTTGCTTATTAAAAAGCACAGAGCTGACTGGCAGCAGGACACTGGTGAAAGGGAATGACAGATTTGTGGGGTAGGCGGGCAGAAGATACAGCAAATCTAACAGAACAGCTCATTTCCAGAGACCATGCAGTCAGCTCACAATAAATTAATTTAAGACAGGAAATCCAACAGGATATGCTTTAGACATTTCACAAAGTACGCAGAATTGTTAATAAAGGAAAGGCTACTCACTGTATACTGGACGGCGGCTACAGCTGCCTGTGGAGGGTAGATGCGCTCGTCAAGTTGCTGCTGTACAGGTCCTCGGGCAATTCTGTGATAAAACAAGCTGTTAAGGAAAACCGCCAACCGATTGGAGCTCTAGGATTACGCCATCATGACATACCAGAGGGCTGAAAACAAAATTGACGATGTTTAGAATTCTAGAGAGGATTTTTCCTTCCAAGGCCCCTATGTGTAGCATTGCTGCTGAGACAGTCTATATAGATTCTTGTCTATGCACCTGGCTCAAATCCAACTTAACTGTCCAACAGCAGATCTGGCTAGACCTTATCAAATCTTATCACTCCGCCCTTGCCACGGCTAAATCGTCCCTCTACAAGACAATATTGGAGGTCAAGGACAACCTCAAGTTCCTATTCTCCATCACCAACCGGCTCCCCCACCCACCCCATCCTTTCCTCCAACGCCAAAGTCGAGGGGATCCGCTCAGCTGCCTCTGGCCTTCCGACTACTACCTCCTCCCCATCTTCCCCTCACATCCTAGCTCCCACCATCCCTCACTCCACTCCTTCGAACCTGTCTCCCCTTCCTCTTTCATCACCACCAGAACCCACATGAAACTGACCACCCGCTCCCTTGACCTCATCCCTACCCCTCTTCTTACTGCCCAGCTCCACCTCCTTGCCCCCCCTACTCACAGACCTCATAAACATCTCTCTGTCCACTGGTACCATTCCCACCCCTCTAAAAATGACTGTCATCTATCTTTAAAAAACCCTCTCTGGACCCATCCCTGCTCTCACATCACCGCTCCATTTCCAACTTCTCTTTCCAAGGTGCTGGAACAGGTAGTTGCTTCCTAGCTTCGCTCCTTCCTTTCCTTCCGTCCACAGCACAGAAACAGCTTTGGTGAAAGTGACAAATGACATTTTGTCCAGGGCTCCCTCTGCATCCTCGTCCTCCTTAATCTCTCTGCTGTCTTCAAAACCGTTGACCACTCTGTGCGCCGCTCCTCTCACCTCAACCTTCATGGTTCTATTCTGAATGGTTCAGATCCTATCGCTCATACCGTCTGCACTTCATCTCCACAAATGGCTTCTCCTATAGCCCCCGCACTGGCTTGTGTGGAATTGCTCAGGGCTCTATCCTTGGTCCCTTCCTTTTCAATATCTATATGCTTCATCTTGGTGACATCATTTGCCGACATGGGGTCAATTTCCACATATTGGATGACACCCAACTCTATCTCTCACCCTCGACCCCAGGACCCTCTGCTGTCCTGACAGAATGTTTGTCAGACATCAAGTCCTGGATGAGAGCTAACTTTCTACAGTTGGACGTCAACAAGACCGAGGCTCTCCTGATTGGCTCCCGTCAGTGCCTCCACATCTCAGGCATCGACAGCATCGCCATCCAAGAATGCACACTCCACCTTACTGAGCCTGCCTGGAAACTTGGCGTCTTGTTTGACCCTAAACTATCCTTCCTACCCCACATCTGTGCCACTTCTTCCTCCATGGTCTTCCTCTGCGACCTTCTAACCCCCTACCAACCTGCCCGCGCCCTCCTCTCAGTGGTCTTCGGCTTGCTTCACATCCCTCTGCCTCGTCCTTTCCCTTGCCCCCATCAAGACTCAAGACCCTCCTCTTTGACCTTGCCATTCCCCAGCTCCGCAACATTGCCAGACTCTGCCACTGTCTCACACTGCAGGCAGCCAGGATCCTCATACATGCATTCAAAACATCCAGGCTCGACTACACAAACTCCCTGCTTGCCAGCCTCCCCAACTCCTCCCTCCAAAGGCCTTAGATCACCTAGAACTCTGCAGCCCGTGTCCTCTCCCACACCAGGCTCCATGACCCTATCACCCCCGACTTCACTGGCTTCCCATCACACAGAGGATACAGTTCAAGATCCTGGTCCTCACCTTCAAAGACCCCATGGTCTTGCTCTGCGACCTTCTAACCCCCTGCCAACCTGCCCGGTCCCTCCACTCAGCGGTCTCCAGCCTGCTTCACATCCCTCCGCCTCAACCCATCCCTTGCCTCTATCAAGACCCGTCTCAAGACCCTCCTCTTTTAACTTGCCTTCGGTCACGTCCTTCTCCCCCAACCCTTCACCCTCCCTGATCCTGACCCCCAGCTCGGGTCAGAAACACTGACTGTGAAAGGAGCTACAAATGTAATTTTGTTGTTATCAAAATGAATTACGCACATGCTTCAAAAAGAGGCGATATTAAAGGGCGAGAAGAATGGGATTAGACGAAGTGATCCACATAGAGCAAAACATCAGTGACTAAACACTGGGTTGTATTGCCCGTTTCTGGGCTTCTGTGACACGATGATTCGCTACTCACTGACATTCCTACGATGAATGAAGGTTTACACACAGAATAATGTAAGCATGTTGCAACTCAAAGTACACACGAATAATAGTTTTTCTACCTCGAAGATCAGGTGATAAGATCAATGCAAGTTCCAAGTGCTGTCGTGGCTGAGATTAACTCAATGCCAACAGGGTGGGGGGAAAGGGGTGGGGGCCAGTAATTGTGTGGATCAGGAACTACACTGAACGTTAATAGTGTAGATGTCATCCAGCCAACAGTCATTATAACATTATATTGAAAATATAATAAATAATCCTTGCATTCGATAAGAGCTTCACAACTAATTGCCATTAATGTGCATTTGTAGGCAGAAGTTCCTCCAAACAGCCAATTGAAATGCTAATGTGCTGGAAGGCTACACAGGGACTGCAACTTGAAAAAAAACAGCAAATAAAAGGCAAACCTTACTTCAGCAACAGAATCCACACCTATTTCTTACTGTGTTTGAGCGCTGCGTACTTCACTACTCGAGCAGAGAGCCCAGCATATTGAGGAGTGAACTGAGTGAGGTGGAGCAGAGTGCGAATTCTGTTAAGGAATTTGGCGAGAGTAGGAATTCTTGAACAAGAGAGAACTGGAGACCAAGAGAAAACTCTTTCTTTTAGTAAAAGAATGAGAATTGTTTTTTTGAACAAGAGAGGACTTTTCAAGCAAAACAGGTAAACAAGCCAAATTGGTATTTAGTGACAGGCTAGGTGTTAGGGATTAGCTAATTAGTTAATCATTTGCTGACCAGTTGAATCAGGTTATATCAGAGGCCTATATAAAGGGGAGAACTGTGAAAGCCTCACTTGAGTAGAGTGAGGTGGGAACGGAGTGAAAATTCTATCAAGGAATTCGGTGCAGAGGGGGAAGGTGATGTGGGTGAGATTTTTTTTTCTTATGTAACAATGGAATTGCAGAAGTTGTGAGATGTTTGCCTTCCAGTCCCAGGTCTTGAATGGATTCATCTGCATTAACTGAGTTACTGGTAGATTCACTCAAGTCTGAAGTTGTCAGCCTTATGAGTGCTAAAGTATTAGAGAGGGCAAAGTGTTTATAAATTATGTATTAGAGACCTTGCTAGGGGGCACAGAGGAGCCCCTGGTACCTAGAGGAGGGGATTGGGTGTCTGCCAGGGACAACATGACAAATAATGCTGCACAAGTTGCAAAGTGCTAAATAAGTTTTTTGCATCAGTCGTTACCAAGGAGGAGACAGGTAACCTATCTGATCTGGATGTCGCAGAGAAAAGTTGCTATTTATATCACTACCAGTATGGTTGCCAAACAGCTGTGTAAACTTAAGATAAATTGTCTAGAATGAACCAGAAAAAGGAGGCGTGTGACAAATGTCAAACCCAAGATACAGAAGACAACCAAATAAAATAAAGGAAGTACAAAAGAGAACTGAAAAAGGAAATAAGAGGGGCAAAAAGATTATATGAAAAAAGGTTAGTGGGCAACATTAAAGGGAATCCTAAAATATTTTGCAAACGTGTTCATGAAAAAGAGGTTAGTCAAAGATAGGATGGGGCAATTAAGGACCAAGGTGGAAATCTTATTGTGGAGGCAGAGGGCATAGCTGATGTACTGAATGAGTACTTTGCATCTGTCTTCACAAAATAAGTGGATGCACCAAATGCCGCAGTATCGGAGGAGAGGATAGAGGAAATGGATAGGATAAGTATAAACAGAGAGGAAGTACTGAAAAGGTTGACTGGGCTCAAGGTAGATAAGTTGTCTGGACGGGATGCAGCCAAGGTTACTATGGGAGGCACAGGTACAAATAACGGAGGCTTTGGCAACAATTTTTCAATCTTCGTTGGACACAGGAGTGGTACCAGAGGACTGGAGAGTGGCCAATGTTACTCCCCTGTACAAAAGGGACAGAAGGACAAACCTGGGAACTACAGGCCAGTCAGCCTAACATCAGTAGTGGGGAAACTCCTGGAGACTATAATCTGGGACAGAATAAATCTTCACTGGAAGAATATGGGTTAATTAGGGACAGCCAGCAAGGATTTGAAGGTCTTCCAACAATGCTGTGTCAGTGAGTAAAGCAAACCAGATGTTGGGATGTATCAAAACATCAATAGCAGCTGAAGTATGGGGTAATCCTGCCACTTGGTGAGACCATACTTGGGAGTACGGTGTACAGTTCTGGTTGCTGCAGTACAAAAAGGATATGGGAGAAATTGAGGAGATACAGAGGAGGGCAATCAAAATAATTGATGGAATGGAAGGACTGGACTATGAGGAGCCACTAAGTAAATTGGGTATGTTCACTCTGGAAAAGAGAAGATTGAGAGGTGCCATGATTGCTGTCTAAGATTTTAAAGGGGCAAAACAATATAGATCATGACAGGCTGTTTCAACTATTCCAGAATAGTAGAACCAGAGGACATGGCCTGTGAATGAAGGGGTGAAAATTCGGAACGAAATTACTCAAACACTATTTCAATGAATGAATAATGAACCTGTGGAACAGGCTCCCTTGGCAGATGTTTGAAGCAGGAAGTGTTGATTCTTTCAAACACAGATTAGATAGTGTTCTTTTAGGAAATCACATTACGGGATATAGTATATAGGTAGTTTGTGCATGTGACTGCCATGAAGGTGGAAGGGGAACTAGGTCTTTTTTCGTCTACCAGTTCTTATGTACTCAATCTGAAGCTGTACTGAAAAGGTAAATTACACAACTTTTCTTGAGAATAAATAATTGCC